TTGAGTTCTGGACCGGAGAGTCCGCCCCGACTCTCCAGTCGATTCAGTAAAATGTCCTGTCAACACTGAGGTCCAACAGAACCAGAACCAGAACTAGTGCTGTGGTTCTCCCACAGTCCGTATTCATATGGATGTCATTGAACACTTTGACTAGGCCAGTCTCCGTGCTGTGGTAACCATGGAAACCAGACTGAAAGGAGTCAAAGCGGCTGGTTATCGTTAGGAAGTTATTTAACTGTTGAAGCTTTTTCAATAACTTTGCTGATGAATCAGAGGTCAGAGGTCAGAGGTCGGCCTGTAGTTCTGCAGTAGTGATTTTATCAGTGGTTTGATTGCTGCTGATGAGAGTGATGAGTTTACTGAAAGAATCAAAGCAAAACTCTGTGATGGAGAGATTGAGAGTGGATTTTAAATGATGCCGGCCCTTTAAATACAACTCGCCTGATGTTTTATATGAAGTGAAATGTTTGCAATATTTTATTGAGTTTAATGAAAATATTCATGTGGATAAATAAGAGAAGCCGAGTCTGTAGCTTATGTCCAGTAAATCTGGACTAAATGACGGCGGCCATTAGCAGACAGACATCACCCAGCAGGTTCCCAGGTAAACCATCAGCTGTTTAAATCTGTTCTTAATGCTCCTTAATGCTGCTGAGCCGGAGCCGCTGCTCATTTACACATTAAGAGAAAACACTGCGCTTCCTTCCTGGGGAATATTTCAAAAGCTTTTACTGAAAACTGGGAGATGAAGCAAAACCTCAAACAGAGATTCGTTAAAAGCCGAATGAAACCGGCGGTAATAACAGCCTGATGTTCCCTTCTAACAGTGATTAATAAAAACAACTGCAGCACATCGAACGATGAAGATGGTTCTCTGCTGCAGGCTGAAAACGTGAAATCCAGCCGGTAAAACGGCTCAGCTGCTCTGACTTTCAGCTCCGACTGAAGGTTTCCTTAAACTGTTTGGCTTTTGTCAAATCTCCGATAGCGTCGCTGCACCGACTGTAATTAGTTCCCAGATTAATCTGCGGCGGCGCGGCATAAAGCCAAGTAGTCAAATAATAGGTGAATATCAGCGAAAGCACTGAATGGCTGCAGTCCCCAGATCCCCCATGCAATTATTTCCTATTCACATTAATTATTGCTAACAGATGACTCTAATGACTTTGAGAGGAAGCTGACCATGACAGCTTTCCAAACGATCAATGCTGCTTCAAATGGGGTCACAACACTTGACTTGGAAACGCTGCATGTTTAACAGACCTGTGGACGAAGTGCCAGCAGACACTCCGCTTCCTGGTATACACAAAACATGAGACAGAAAATCCATTTAAATCCATAAAAATTACTTTTTTCCTAATGATTTCACCTTTTGCTAAAAACCATGGTGGTGTAGCATGTTAGCATTAGCTTGTGCTAAAAACCATGGTGGTGTAGCATGTCAGCATTAGCTTGTGCTAAATACCATGGTGGTGTAGCATGTTAGCATTAGCTTGTGCTAAATACCATGGTGGTGTAGCGCTTTAGCGTTAGCAGAATTAAAGTTTGATTATTGCTTTAGGATTAGTGCAGCTAACGTTTTACTTAGCCCACCACAGGAATTAGTGTTTAAGGTTCTGATTTCGGTAAACATCGACGGGGAACGGAGACGGACTCAGACAGGGTTTTCCAAGTCACCTGGAAACATGGAGACGGACCATCAGACTCGTATGGAGAGAACAGCTGGCTGGTTCTGGATCAGTTTGTTGTTTTGGACCGAAACAACAATCTTCATCTCGTGCTGTTCTGCAGAAAACCTCGGACTCGGTTCAGTTAGTTTCAGCTTCAACTGGACCAGATAAATCTTTACTATAAAATGTGTCTCTAATGAGCTTCCAGTGATTTGTCAGTAAATCGGATGAGTGTTTTACTGTGAGCGGTGCGTCACTTCTGTTTTTATTTTGGTTGGTTTGGATAGTCGACGGTTCTGAGTCTCCCTGTGATTCCCAGTGGTTGATCACTTATAAAATCTTTTCCAGGAGGTCCAAAGAAACGGAAAAGCCAGAAGTATTGCTGCAGGAAGATGGCCCAGCCTGCTGAGCCTGACCTGCCCACGAAGCAGCGGCAGCGGCAGTGAGCTGTCTCTGTCCAGTGCTTGCAGTGAATACTCCAGTGGTTCCCATACCTGGGCAGATGGACGCGGCTTCTCCAAGCAGGTACGTTTCTTGTTTTGTTGGTCTTATTTTCTATCTTTAACTTGCATTGTAACGGTTGCTAATGTCTCCACAGTGTGCCTCCAGCCGGGACAAGCGTATGAGCACAGGCTCAGTATCCAGCAATCATTCAGTGTTCATTGAGCCAACAGACCTGGGATGGAAGGAGGGGCATATCCTGAAAGGCCTCAAGCATCTCCAGATGAACAAGTCCAAAGAGGCAACCTCAGCTGCAGCTGTTCCACACTGCAAAGACTGCATGACCTCAAACGAGGGCATTTACTCCTCTGGTGTCAAGTCGCGCCAACAAGGGTCTCCTGCTAAGAAAAGTTCAACAAGAAAACCTTTGACAGCCAAGCTGCAGGCGTCCATCCTGGACTCTGATGATCCAGATGAATCTGACAAACAATCAACAAAAAAACGTCTTCATTTGGACTCATTGGAGGTTTCTGCAGATGATGACAAAGTTTCTGATGAAGACTCGATTCTTCCAGCTAGCTCCGGTCTCTTCCCCTCACCCGACTCTGACAACTTCCCATTTTTAGAGGCCCCCACCGTTAAACCTGGTGTGAGTCCAACAGATAGCCTCACAAAGTCTGGGGGATTCAACAGAAACTCATTAGATAGACACATATCAGGAGTGAAGCTCAGCGACAGGAATAATAACCAAGAACAGGCCAGTGACCGTAAATCCAGGCTGGACTTCAGCCAAAGACAGCAAGGCAGACTTCCTATGAAGCAAACAGAAGCAGAGGTAAATGAGGTGAGTTCCTCAGCTCAGCATTCTGCAACCAGAGCTCTGAGCTGCATGAATGAAGCCAGACAGCGAAGCGCTTCAATGGAAGTGCCTCACTGCAGAGACCAGGCAAATCCAGCCGGTCGGGACAGCAGGGACTGGACCAGCTCAGAATCTCCACAGAGGAAACCAAAACCTCAGTTTTGTGACTCAGCAAGAAAAGCTTTCATTCTGAGAAGCAAGAGTGCAGATGGAGGCCAAGATCAGCTTAAACACACCCATTCTCCTCTACATCAGAAGCTCATCAAGGGTCAAAGACCGAAAGGACAGGCAACCTCTCCAGGACACAGTGTGCCCAGCAAACGGTCCAACCCTCACGGTTCCAGCAAGTGCACATTATCTAAAACTGACAAAGATCAAGATGTTTCAACACCAGTCGGCTCCAAGTGTCTTGAGAGTATGCAACATCTGTCTCCGCTCGCATCTCCTGTGAAACAGTCAAAGATCCTTAAGTCACCAGGCATCAAGGACAGCCTGAAGAGTCCAACAAAACCATCATCTAGAGTCTCAAGCAATGACTGTGCTGAAGAGAGCATCTATGACAACCTGCCCTGTTCACCGAGGAAACAGAGACGCCAAGAAGACCAGGGAGATGCGTTCAGATCAGAGCGAAGGTCTCCGTCTCCACCGCTGCCACCAGGCCAAACTACTTCTCTTCTCCTTAAAGCCGGCTCCGACAGCACAACCAAAGACCAGAAACTGGCAACTCAGCCTCAAAGCTCAACCACTGGCAAGCCATCAACAGCTACTGACTTCAGTTCTGTTTTAGAGACTCAGCAGTCCAACACCATAAAAGATAATCAACTTGCTGACCTGCAAATGAGAGACGTCTCCCTCAAAACCTTCCTTACCGATGGGTCAAAGATTCCTCACCTCCCCGTTCAAGAATCACAATCCTCAGACTCAGTTCAGCCGGACAGAATCACCACATGCCGGAATGAGAATGGATCAACAAACCAGAACATCCTACAGAGATCCCAGCAGAGCATTAGTGAGCCAAAGCTTTCTGAAGTCCTGCCTACCGGTTTCTCTAATGTTTACTATCATGGGGTTCCCAGTAATCTCCACACATCCTCCTCAAATGCTGTGAAAAGGACACTTCCTGTGAATGCTAAGTCTCATGAAGCAATCTCTGGACAGAACACCAGTACCTTCTTGATCTTGGGGAGACAGAGTTATGACGACCCAAACAGTCTGCAGACTTTTCAAGCATTTACATGCGATCCCCAAGTGATGCATGAATTTGGTTCACAGGAGAAGTCTTGCCGGAAGATTGAGACCCGCTGCAACTCCCTGGACTCTGAGCCTCTGCAGCCTGCAGCATCTGACGCCAGCGGGATGCTGGACTGGGGCTTTGATGAGCAAGGCTGGCTGTTTAAACGCTCCGTGTCTGTGTCGACCAGACCTCTTCTCAAACCAGTGATGGGCATGAATGGAGCTAAAGCTCGCAGTCAGAGCTTCGGTGCACGTTACATGGACAGACCGAGCTTCAACAGGTCTGGGAAGGTCCGGACGCAGATCAAAACCCATTCAGGGAGCTCACTGAACTCTCTTGGGGATGTCCTTCCCGGTAGCATGAGCTGCTCCAGTAGCTACCACTGTCCAATGAATCGATCCCTACTGAACAACTTTCTAATTGAGGAAGGACTGACAGTCCCGTCACATCTGGGTTCATCCAGTGAAAGACTTCAGAGTCTTAAGCTGCAGAGAGAGCAGGCGAGGCGCCTTCAGATCGAGCAGCAGTTTTCCAGCGCCTTTGGTGAGCCGGTCTCTGAGGAACCCGAGAGACAAAGCACCATAACCACCATCGAAGAGAAGGTGATGCTTGGCATTGAGGAGAACTTGCACAAGTCACAGGAACATGAGAAAACGAACGAAGTGAAGCAAAAGTCTGGCTCCAGCATTGCAAGTTGGTTTGGTTTCCGTAAGAGTAAACTTCCGGCTCCAAGCAACAAAAAGACGGATCCGCCAAAAGCAAAGGAAGAAAAGCGGGAACAAAAGATTACATCTCTGCTGGGAGGAAAGAGTGCAAAGTCAGACAAGAAGAAAGACAGACGAAAAAGTGATGGAAAAGAATGGTAAGACACACAGACGCATCCTCTCAGCATGTCCAGACGTGTCCCCTACAGCGTCACAGACTCTTTGTGATAGTTGAGTAAATCCTCAGCTTCCTGAGTCCATATGACAGGAAACGGTTGATGAATAGTTTTTCTTTCAGCTCTGTGGGAATAAGAGAGCCCCATGATGCGGTTCGGGCCTGCATCTCAATGCCCTGTCCAGGAATGTCCCTCACTGAGATCCAAGGACATGCTAGCATCATAGCGGACCCCCAGGTAGGACTTTGAATGGTCCAACTGGACTCTTTTACTTTTTTTAAGGTTTTATTGGCTCCAGTGGCCTTTATTTGATAGTGAATTGACAGAAAAGTGGGTAATGAGAGACAGGAGAAGACATGCGCCAAAGGTCACCAGTCCGGGAATCGAACCTGCGTCGAGGACTGAGGCCTCCAAATGTGGGCTGTGCTCAAGCCCGGCGCCACCACAGCGCCCCACTCTTTTACCTTTTAAACTGAAATAACACAAGCTGAACCAATACTTTCTAGTTAGATAATGACAGAAGGAAAATCCTTCTGTCACTCTGACGACTCCAAGTCATCAGAGTGATCTGCAGTGATAATCATGTCATGCGCCAGGTGGCGCTGCAGCGACACATTTATGTGGAAAAGTAACCTGTGCCTACCTTAACAAGCCTGGTCACCAGGACATGTTCTTAATCGACTCTTTTACAACTCTTCTCTCATCTGTCATAGTAACTCTTTACACAGACTGAAGGCCAAACCATTTCTGATCAACTGATCAAGAAGTGCTTCTTAGCTAGAGCTCCCGTTATAAGACCTTATTCAGCAATCCTAAGATACCATCCTGCTGCCCAGATGTAAGAACTAAATCCTGACCTCCACAGGCGCTGGTTTAACTGGTTCTTACCCGGTCCGCCCCATTCAGATTCTTCTCCATTTGTGGATTCTGTACGGTTCTTCCTCACATGCTGGAACCACGCCAGAGGCGGAACAGGTGTAACTCTTCTTGTCTGGTTGTCGGTCACCTAGTACAACACAGAATAAAAACTCCTCACAGTGTGACTGACTGCAGCCGAGTGGTCCGACAGGCTGAAAAAAGAGACGCAGCGCCGTGACCGAGTGGTCAGCCACCAACACCAGCTCCCACTCATTGGGTCACATCTTTCCAGCCCAACCACGAGAAAAACTTTACAATTTATATTTGTAGATGCTAAATATTTTTACAGTACTTCGTTAATTGTTGAACTAGAAAAATATGACCCTAAGTAAAAAAAGAAGTGAAGAGCTGCCTCTCTCGCACCCACCTCCACCAGCACCAGCAATCTGGAGGGGGAGCCTGAAGGACCTCATCACACCACTAGGTGGCTCCAAACAAACGCATTGATCAAAAATCTCACAAACACATACAACCCTTCAATCATTTTGATCAAAACTCACAGACACACATAAGCTACTCTCTGTTACACAAGCCAGGCCAAGCGATCTGATTGGCCCATCCAGTTCATGCAAACTGATCCATCAAGAACAGCTCAGCCTCCATTTTCAATCCGCCATGACGGTAGAAAGTCCTTTGGTCCGGACCAAACTTTAATTGATCTGTCAGCTTTCACATAGTGCTTTTTGAAAGCGGACTAAGAATTGTAATCAAAGCCAAATGGGTGATGATCTTTGCTCCTATTGTACAGAAATGAAGGGGGTGGGACGTAAACAAACATGAAAACGCTGCTGCTGCATTTCTGTTGCACCTGCAGCACCATTCTGGAGGCCAAGAGCAGTTCACTTAGCGCTGCTTCATGCAGTGCAGTCAGTGAATGCAGTAGCAGCGCTGGCAACACTGAAGCTACGGTGGCTCAGGAAGTCCAAAAGACGTTCCTGTAGTTGGTTCGGATCGAGGCCCGTCTGTTTCACCGCAGAGTTGGGTTGGAAGCGGACCGAGACCAGCTCAGAAACTGGGTCTGGTCCGGTTAAAGGGAACCAGGTTGGTCCAGTGACTTACGAGGTAGAAGTTATGAGTGAAGAAAGGACGAAGAACGTCTTGTGACGGATCATTCTGATTTCTCTGCAGATGATGAACCGAAGACCTGACGGTGAAAATGGATCCGATGTGAGGAGCCAGGACGCAGTCATAGGTCAGCCTCCTCCTGCTGCCGGGTCGAGGGTTCAGTCGTAGACAGCACCTAAATGTCCTGATTCCTTTAAAAGCATCGTGACGAGTTGGCTTGTGACCGATGGTGGAGCGTCCAGGCATTAAGGTTTTGTCTGTGCTTGCCATTTTACAGTTTGCAGACAGAAGTGAAGACCAAATATGACAGACGTGTGTAAGTCATGAAACATGATGAAAACCCTAAAATCAGTCAAACAAACTGCAAAATGCTGAGTTCTGTCAGTTTGTGCTTCTCCATTCATCCACAGTTCGTCTGATCAGTTCCTGCTCTGCATTCAAACCATTTCAGCCTCCAGCGTTCAGATTCTGCTCCAACATTTTCCACCTGGTTTAACCTCCATCCTGAGCTGAATATTTCTGGTTTTTAATCTTTTCTTCATCCATCAGATTCAGGAAGATTCAATCATGGAGCTTCTTTAGAAATGTGGAAGCTAACATTAGCATTGGCTGCTACATGCTAGCATTGAGATGCTATTTCAAGCTAGCATAACTTCACTGATAGGCTAACTGCTTTTGGCATAATTTGCACACAACAGCAGTATTTTCCAGTGTCCAATCAGATCGCTTAGAAGCAGAAATTAACTGAGAAGCAGCTTCATCGCTAATGTTAGCGATGTGTGTCAGATTTATGGCTGTACCAGAAACATGTGAATACAAAGGTTCCTGCCTGAAAAGTTTTAATGCATTAAAATTTATGTATTCAGTTGATCAAGATGAACGTGTTAAAGATCTGTCGCTCGTTTGAATGCAAATTTTATTGACAGCTTTCAGATTTTCATTCATAGCAGAGGAAGTTACGAGTCATTTTCCTTTATTTCTCCGTCTGTCACATAAAATCCCATCAGATGAAACGAAATCAGCCGAATCAGTTTAAGAGAAACCGTTTTCCAGCTGCTCCGTTGATTGGATGTTACTGTAATATTGGATGGTGCTGTTAAAGTCTGGTTTTCTTTAATGAAAGGTTCCTGTTGGCCCGTCGTCCATCATGATGTTGTGGTTCAGATCCGATTCCTGATCCAACCCGTCCCACTCGCTGCTGGCGGCTGGAACAAAGCGGCAGTGAAAGTTGGTTTGTTCTGGTTTTAGTTGGTTTGTTCTGGTTTTAGTTGATCTGGTTTTAGTGTCGCTTTGTGCAGCAGCTTGTTGAAGTTTTCTGACAGGCGGCGCTGGAACCTGATTGGCTGGCGGAGGAACCATCAGAGCTGCTGGATTCCCCGAGACGCCGACCTCCGGGGTTAATCACCTCATTAAAACTTCAGCTCTGCTCCGTCAGCCGAGAGAATTAGCTTTCAGCTCCGGGATGATTTTAACACCAGACCAGGAGAAAACATCACCTTCACTTAATTCAGTAAACTGAGAGAGAAAGTTAAAACTTTCCATTATCCAATTACCTCCAGCTGCGTTTCTCACATAATAATTGAGGCTTTGACTGATTTATTTATTCAGGTTTCCCTTCAGGAGGGAATCATAAAAGGTTTAAAAACCAGAACTAACTGAGAAAGAACCAGAATTATACATACACCCCACTGGCATCTGGATAAACTTAGCATCTTGTCCTTGAAGCCAAATATTTACATACAACAAATTAAAACACACATTCACATTTTTTCACTTTGTGAAGTTAATTCTGACCAAACTCCTTTGATCAGGTCAGTGAGAATTAATAAATGTCTTATTTATGCTTAAAGCCAGAAAACTTGGAGAAAACAATTCTTCGATATATTTTTTTCTTCTTTTAAATTAATTTTTTTAAAATTTTGTCATTCATTTTGTCATATTAGATTTTTTTAAACTTATTTTTTAAAATGTTTTAATGAAATACTTTTTCCTTAATTTTTTTAATCATTAAAAAAAAATATTTTTTTATCTTGGGAAGAATCTTCCCCTCTGGATGGGCTTCAGATGGTTTGGAGGTGACCTTTGACCCTTCCCAGGGGTCATTCCAGATTTCCATGTCGGTGTTGGTCAGGGTTTAAATGATGGGATGTGAATCTGATGAGTTTGGATAAAAACAGATAAATTAAGGCGAAGCAGCTGGAAGTGTTAAACGTTTTGGTTCCTAACAGAAGAAACGTCTGAAACGTGTGTCGGACTTTCAGGTGTTAAACATCCCGACTGAGGAAAAAACCGCAACGTTCTGGGATTCAGCTCTGCAGATTTAACACCTGCAGAGCAAAACACGAAAGCTCTCCACACTGCAGGCTAGATGGATGCTAGCATGATGGATGCTAGATGGATGCTAGCTGGATGCTAGATGGATGCTAGCTAGATGCAAGATGGATGCTAGCTGATAGTTACTTTTTCTTGATCCTACATAAAAGAACCACAGACAACGTATATGAATTTTATGGCCAAGCTTTTGCAAAAGGAGAAAGACTCCGTCAACTGCTCCTCCGAGTCGTTCACAGAGCATTCTGCTCTCCTTCCGCGTGAGCCCCTGTTTTATTGTCAAGGAAAACAGTCAAAGGAGCAGTCAAGAAAAACAACAGAGGTCGTAAAACTTCTAACATAAACATCTAGCAACCCAGCTCCAGGTGTGATATCTGATCTATGGTCTGAGCCCGGTTCAAATCTCGGTCAAACTGTTAACAAGACAAAATACGACTACAGACAAGCAGTTAGGAGGTATTCTGGTTGATAAGAATTTAAGGTCTGAGAAACACAGAGTTAACATGAAGATGAACAGACAGTCCTGACCTCCAGGTTAGTTCATACACACATAAGGAAGAGAACACTTTAAACAGAAAATTACAACGATCTATAGACTGAATGTGAACTAAAGTAATAACAAAATGATAATACCGAAAAATCTCTAACACTAGATGGATGCAAGATGGATGCTAGATGGATGCTAGCTAGATGCTAGCTGGATGCTAGCTAGATGCTAGATGGATGCTAGCTAGATGCTAGCTGGATGCTAGCTAGATGCTAGATGGATGCTAGATGGATGCTAGCTAGATGCTAGCTAGATGCTAGCTGGATGCTAGCTAGATGCTAGATGGATGCTAGCTAGATGCTAGCTGGATGCTAGCTAGATGCTAGATGGATGCTAGCTA